GGTTTTTGATGTCCTTATGAATCTTTGGAAGAAAATAGAATACTGGTACTTTGGGATGTGATATACTTAAAAATTCATATTCTTTTTTATTTAATATATGGTGCGATTTACCTCTCTATCAATTCGTGATAGCTGATTTTAATTTCATTAGTTGGATCCTTGTTAAGTAATTTATATGTATAGATATCTCCTAAAATTCTATTTGCTTCCTTAATATAGTCAGTGTGTTCTAGCAAGACTATCCCTCCCCCCTTGTCGGCTGATTTAATTACAAGGGCATGATCATTTTTAAAAAGTTTAAGAGCTGCCATCTCTTGCAGATTCAAATTATATTCATATTTGTGTAATCTCTTGATCTTATCAATGTCCTGCATGACCATTCTTTTGAATGTCACCATTTCTTCTGAAATGCAGAACTTTGGGAAAAACTTAGATTGTTCTTTCAAATCTGTATGTATAAATCCAGATTGTTCTGTCTCCTGTAGGTTTACTTCTCCTGGATGTTTAGCAAAAAACTTTTTAAGGCAAAGTTTCCTTTTAAAACGGTTAAGATCAATATACACATTGAATTTGTCAATATCTCTAGAGGGAGCAAACTTTAGTCCTTTTTCTAATAGTAACAACTGGGGTTGTGTTAAAGTCCTTTGTGTTAGATTAAATATGCCATTATTTTTAGGGTTTAGTGTCTGCTTTTTCTTTCTTTTCTGTATATTGATTCCTCCTCTATTTCCCCGTCTTCTGGACTCCTTAATCTCTTTCCAGGGGACCTTTAAAAATATGTGCTCTCTTTGTGTTTGCCTCTTATATGTGAATATAAATAACTTCAAAGTAAAAGGTTATAAAGATGAACTGCTAAATGTTGCATATGAAAAAGTTGAAACAGAGGACAGATCTTCTCTTATCCGATACAAAGCTAAAAAAGACACTAGGAACGAATCAGTCTTTGTATGTGATTTCAATTGTAAAAGTAAGCAAATCAAAAAAATTCTGAACAAACACTGGCCTATCTTAAGAATTGATGATGAATTGAACTCTATGCTTTCTGAAAAACCTATCGTAGTTTATAGAGGGGTCCCAAGTTTAAATAGGACTCTAATACATAACCATATAAGAGCCAAAGTAGATACCCACTTTCTTAATAAAACAAAAGGCTTTTTTGGCTGCGGTACCAGTGATGCATGCAGAAACAAACAAAATAAAAAAAGACATTTCGACTGTTCACCATCCAAAGAATCATGAATTACAATTTAGAATAAGAGTTGATTACATGCTACGCCAAAAAGGTTGTTTATGTGATCATATGCCCTTGTGGTCTGCTATATGTTGGACGTACCATCCGCCCTCTTAATGGACGCATACAAGAACATATTAGAAATATAAAAAATGGGTTTGACAAACATAGTTTATCATCACACTTTTTGAAAAAACATAACAAAGATCCCAATAATCTAAAATTTATGGGTATATACAAATTAACACCAAATTGGAGAGGCGAAAACCTGATAAAACGCTTAGGACAAATGGAAATGAGATGGATTTTTAACTTAAATACACTAACACCTCATGTTCTTAATAGCAATTTCGAGCTCTGTCATTTCTTGTAACCCCTTTTATATTATAGATGTTTTTTAACTATTATTTTTTATTATAAAGTACTAGTGATTTTATTTGTTTTTTTAATGTTGTCATTGCTGCATAATGTAAGATTTCTACCTATTTCTTTACTATATAAACTGCTGACACTCTTTGCACTTTATTACACCATTTGCATGAAACAAATCTATCAGTTTTATATAGGAAAAGCTTGTTAGCTCTCTCTGAAAAAGTGATGTTTCAGTGATATTATCATTGTGCATTAAATACTCAATTTAACATCTCCTCGATATTCAGAGCTAGCAGCAAGGAATTAATTCACAACGGTCTCCAGCTACTGGTTACTTGGCCAAATTGTTAGGATATAAAATCTTATTGGAGTATTTGACCAGTCAAAATGGAAAACAATATAGAAAAATCTGGCTTCCCCCTACTTTCTGCTACTTGGGAGTGGTTTTGCCCTAAATAGGTATACAAGTCAATATACCTTAGTCGGGGGTGGATGGCTTTATATTTTGTAAATGTAACTCCATTTCTAGTTTGTTGCTATATTGTCTAACTTATTTCTCTCTTTTATGTGAAATATATGTATGGATGATTAAATTCCTGGAGTTTATATTGGTCAACATCAAGGACGGTCTCCTAAAAATACCTAGCTGTTACCCAAAAATACACTTCCTGCTTTCTGCTTAAATACTCAGATCCAAGCATACACATATGTAACGTGATAAATTCCCCTAATCACATCAAAAGTACTACACTATTAGTGTTTTGTTTTATATGTATACACACACACACACAAAGAAAGAAAAATAACATGAGAGAAAATATTCACTGGTAAAATGTATTTTTGTACAGCCCTCTACTTTTTATTTTTTACTTACTTACACAATATATATTTGTTGAGTTATGTTAACTTTATAAGACATTTATTCCATCACACTTTCTGAAAAAGGTCTAATATCTAAGTGTTTGAAATATAATTGCCTGCTAGAGACTGTAGCAGCAACCTGTCTGTGATTAATATGCCGATACACCATATTTTTCACAGGAGCCACAGAGACCTTCCAAGTTTTGCTGACACTGCTGAAAGTAAAAAAAAAAACATAGAACGTGGTGACAGATAAGCACAATTTGGCCCATATAATCTGCCCTCCCACAACTGAGCTTCTGCATTCTTATGGTTGTTTAGTTTAATTTGTGGATTTGCTTTGTGTTGTCCCCGTGGGGGGCGAATAAGAGTCGTGGTCTATGTATGCCTGGTTTGGTAGCCGTTCCTCACCGGAGTTTTGCTAAGCTGTGTGGATCACTGTGGTCTGTTGTGATCGGACTGGGTGGTGTGCTGGCTTCTCCCCACCCCCCCCTCCACACGTCCCCACTCCCGCTGTCCCAGTGCGGTATCATCTAGGGTCTATGAATCAGCAACCCCCCCCCCGCGTCGGTCTGCTACGTCCATATGATTGTGGTGAAAAGCCCAGGCGGGGTTCTCTAGAAGTGGTTCGTAGGTTGTTGGTTGCTCCATGGTCAGTTAGAGTGGTTGTATTGTTAGGGTCCTCCCTTGGACCTAAACCATTTGTCTAGTCCCTGTGGAGTTATGTCTCTGTTCGATTGTTGCATGCATTCACTTTGTAGTGTGCTTAGGCAACACCGTGGTTCCCCACCCCCAGAGTAGGGTGTTCCTAGCGTATCTGCTGTAGTTGTATTATAGATTAGCGTGGTGTCATGAAGTCATGAGAACCATTTTGGTGAGGGGTGAGTTGGTATCGTCAGTCTGAGCGCCGGGGACTTCTGTCTCCCCCCTCCATATCCGCCCTCTCCCCTGTGATGAACTCAATCCACGGTCTCCACATTTCGGTATGCCTGCCGCTCCATTCCATCAAGGATGCCCTTACAGTCTCCGCGGAGTAGATTTCCTCTACCCGTTCGTATTACTGTGCTAGTGTCGGGGTCTGTGATTGTTTCCACATAGTGGATATGAGCGCCTTAGCTGCATCGATCATGTGTCTCAGGATGGATTTCTTGTAGTACGAGATTGGTCTCGGAGTGGAATGTAACAGAAATTGCTCCATCGTCAGAGGAGTCGTGACACCCAAGATATCCACGATTTTGGTGTTGATCAAATCCCAGAATGGCTTGATGCCAGGGCAGTCCCACCATATGTGTCTCAGGGTTCCTTAGTCCTCCTGGCATGTTTCTGGAAGATGCTGGAAGCCACGTGTCACCCGTCTGACCCAGGGATAGTGTTTTGATGCTGGGTGATTAGTGTGGCCTTTTTCTCTCCATCCATCCATCCTCCTGTTTCTTTTCCCCTCTTTCCTCCCTCTTTACACCCCCTCACTATTTCCCCACCCCTTTGTTGTCCTACCCCTTATGCCTTCGTCCCCTATCCCCAATGTAGAGCTCTGAGTTTGCCAGCCCCCCCTTTTGCTGGTTCAGCAGGGATTCTTCTCGTTAGTACCCTAAGTACCCACGTGGTGCATGGTCCCTGTGTCTCTGTCGCCCTGATCAAGGTGTGCCCTCAGGGCATGCATGCAGTTGTCTGTTAAGCTGTGTATCAATGGTACGGGTGCAGGTGGATGCCAGTGTGTGCCTGTTACCACTCGGTCCCTACATGAGTATCAGCTCCACTGCCCAATCCAGCCTCTCCATTAAGTGTTCCCATTATTCCCACCCTAACTTTGACAGTTCCACTCTCATTATTCAGCTCCATCCGCAAGCTCGCATGAGCATACCGGTCCACTCGATAGGGAGGGGGGAGAGAGGAAGGCCACAGAGCAGGCAAGCTGGCTGGCAAATCCCCCTCATACATCCCCGAGGCCCAGATCACCAGTGTAGTGCCCATGTGTTAGGGTCGTGGAGCGTTCAGAGTTCCCCCTCAGGAAGAGCAGGCGTCTGGGTCCTCCCCCCATGACCACCCTCCAAAATGTGCTTCCAGTGGGGTATACCTACCAGAGAGTTTGGGGGGGGAGGTTTGTGAAGAGGTAAGTTTACTTAGCCTGCCAAGGTATCTTTGTGGGATGTCAGCAGACAACTGGGAGAGTCCCTGGCAGTCTGTTCAGTGCAAGTAGTTACCCAGCCGGGTTGGGGATCAAAACAGTGGTGCGGCCAACTGCAGAGTGGTCCATGTGGGGCCCAGTCCATGTGTGGTATGGTGCGTGTTCTTACTCTTCAGGGTGGTTCAAGTCACCAGCCTGGTCCCGCAGGGTCTCTGCCTTAGCGGTACTGAGGTCTCTGTGCAAGCATGACGGAGTTTTGTACCACTGTGCCTTTTCTGCCTTTCAGGAGAGTAGGCCACCCTCGAAGTCTTACCATCAGGTGGCGGCCTAAGCTCCACGAGATGTGGACTACAATAGGGGGTAGTTTCAGCTTCTGTAGGAGTGTGGGACCTCTTCAGGACTCCGGGCTGATTACATGATTTGTTCCTTTAGGGGGAAGGAGTGTAGGCAGCAGATTATGTCCTGTGGAACACTGTCGACACTCAGCGGTCTGAGAGCTCGATGTGCCCTTTCAAATCTGAAGTGATCTGGAGCATCTTCACGGAGGATGATACAGAAGAGCTGGGTAAGGGTTTCCGTGACATTTTCCCATGTTCCTTCGGCCTCTGGAATCCCTCGGATTCTAATGTTGTTATGGCGGCCTCTGTTGTCCTCAAGTTGCCGCCGCATGGCTAGTAACAGGTCTCCCTGCCTTTGAATGGCAGTGTCTGAGACCTTGGCCTGCTTCTCCATGGCGTCCGTGAGTTGTTCCACAGAAGCAATGCGTGTTTCGTGAACCACAAAGTCTGCCTTCAGGCCCGCTACCTCCAATTTCAGCGCGGCGTGCTGGTTGTTAGGTGCTTGGTGAAGGTCATCTTTGGTGACCATTAATGTAGTTTTGCGCCTCAGTTCTGCCCCGATGTCAGCCAGAGTCACATATTCCCCTCCAGAGCAAGTGGAGGCCGGGGATGTTGGTGCCATATTGGGCATGAGTGCCTCATGAGAGGGCCCAGCGGGTGTGCCGAGAAACTCATCCATAGGGCCTGTGAGTGACCCCGGCATTCTGGTCTTGGGAGTCTGTTAGGGGTCTAGCTTCTTCATTCTCCCCAATTCTGTGTAGAATATATGTTGCAATATGCTTATTTCAGCTGGGTGGTGTGGAGCTGAGGAATCAGGCAGCCACCATGCTTGGAGTCCAGGTCACGCCCCCTTTCCTGGTACGTTTTACCCTGCAGTATCAATATCCTTCAGGATACAGTCTCCAGTACTGTGTACAATACTCCAAGTGAGGTTTCAACAGTGCTCTGTACAATAGTATGAGCATTTCCCTGTTTCTACTGCTAATACCTCTCCCTATACAACCAAACATTCTGCTAGCATTTCCTGCTGCTCTATTACATTGTCTGCCTACCTTTAATTCATCTGAAATAATTACTCCTAAATACCTTTTCTTAAATGTTAATGTTAGGACTGTATCAAATATTCTATACTCTGCCCTTGGTTTTTTATGTCCAAGATGCATTATCTTGCACTTATCAGGTGCCAAAACAGAGGAAGGGCTGCAGGGAGGCTCAACTGAGCTTGGGTAAAGACATCTGAAGTGAGTACAGCAGGAAGGAGAGTTAGCCTCAGAGAGGGAGAAAATGTATCTATGTGTGTGATATGTGCATCTCAGTGTTTGTTGATGTGTTTGTGGATGTGCATGTATGTCACTGTATCTGTTGTGTTTGTCTGTATATATGTTCATGTATATCTAGAAACACAGAAACATAGAAACATAGAAACATAGAATGTGACGGCAGATAAGAACCATTCGGCCCATCTAGTCTGCCCAATTTTCTAAATACTTTCATTAGTCCTAGCCTTATCTTATAGTTAGGATAGCCTTATGCCTATCCCACGCATGCTTAAACTCCTTTACTGTGTTAACCTCTACCACTTCAGCTGGAAGGCTATTCCATGCATCTACTACCCTCTCAGTAAAGTAATACTTCTTGATATTATTTTTAAACCTTTGTCCCTCTAATTTAAGACTATGTCCTCTTGTTGTGGTAGTTTTTCTTCTTTTAAATATAGTCTCCTCCTTACTGTGTTGATTCCCTTTATATATTTAAATGTTTCTATCATATCCCCCCTGTCTCGTCTTTCCTCCAAGCTATACATGTTGAGATCCTTTAACCTTTCCTGGTAAGTTTTATCCCGCAATCCATGAAGCAGTTTAGTAGCCCTTCTCTGAACCCTCTCTAAGGTATCAATATCCTTCTGAAGATACGGTCTCCAGTGCTGTGTACAATACTCCAAGTGAGGTCTCACCAGTGTTCTGTACAATGGCATGAGCACTTCCCTCTTTCTACTGCTAATACCTCTCCCTATACAACCAAGCATTCTGCTAGCATTTCCTGCTACTCTATTACATTGTCTGCCTACCTTTAAGTCATCAGAAATAATCACCCTAAATCCCTTTCCTCAGATGTTGAGGTTAGGACTCTATCAAATATTCTGTACTCTGCCCTTGGGTTTTTACGTCTAAGATGCATTATCTTGCACTTATCCACATTAAATGTCAGTTGCCACAGCTCTGACCATTTTTCTAGTTTACCTAAATCATTTTCCATTTGGCTTATCCCTCCTGGAACATCAACCCTGTTACATATCTTAGTATCATCAGCAAAAAGACACCCTTTACCATCAAGACCTTCTGCAATATCACTAATAAAAATATTAAAGAGAATGGGTCCAAG